TCACGTTGACGTGACATTGACTCATGTTGACCCTCGATATCCATGCACGTCCCTTTGTGCTGAGGTGGCCGTTTTTCTTTGTCTGTTTTTGATTTTCTCATGCTGCAACTAAGGGCATGCTTTCCACATATGCTATCAATCCACATTGTCACACCATTGATAAGCAAGTTAAAAAAGCATATAACATAACCAGAAATATCAAGCTAAAAAAATGAACTACCTAAAATATCCTTACTTTGAAATACTTTTAATGGCAAATTAGTAATACAATAATACCCATCTCATCTTATATTTTTTATTAATAACTAATATTTACCTAAAAACCCCTTTATTTGACATATTTTTAATGTCAAATTAGTAATACACTAATACTCATTTAATATCTAATTCATTTAATAACCAGAATAAGAGTGTAGTTATTTCATAGTACATAATGTGATATCATTTCCGTCGATTTTGAGCTTGAATATATTATAAAAAATTGAAAGATTTTTTTTTTTTTTTTTGTTACTAGGCAGCTTTTGGGAGAAGAGCTTTCTGGAATGAGTACTAATGACCTCCAAAATCTTGAAAATCAATTGGAAATGAGTTTGAAAGGCGTGAGGGTGAAAAAGGTGAGCACATATGATTTAATTATTATTTATCATTTGCAGTTTTTTCTACATATTCCACTCTTTCCAGTATATTGAGGTTTGATTGCACTTATATTATGCAGGAACAAATTATGACTGAAGAAATTAAAGATCTAAAGTTAAAGGTCTTGCCCATAACAGTTCTGATCTTTTAATTGTGCAATAATGATCTAGTTTAAATATAAAAAATGTTCGTCGATATTGACACAGGGAAATATGATTCAACAAGAAAACATAGAACTGCACAAAAAGATCAACCTTCTCCTTGAGGAGAATGCAAAGTTACAGAAAAAGGTATTACAAATTATGATATAAACGATGCAAAGTATGCCGCAATTGTTGAATGTTCGCCAGTAATGCACAATACTTCCGATCTAAACTTGACAAACCTTTGGTGCAGGTTTACGGCCATGTTACAAGTACCATCAACAATGAACGTAATCTGAATGCACCCATAAACCTCGAGCTTAGTCAGCCACAACATCAGAAAAATGAAGCACCAGAAGTGGTGGAGCTAGGGTAATTCCAACTTTACATTCATAGTTGTATATGTCTTGCCATTTTTATTTTTTATTTTTTCTCTACCAAATCATTCTTCAAAGTCATGATAATAATTTTTTGCAACAGGCTTCTACTGCACTAGCATTTGAAGCCCTAGAAAAAATTTACCACATATTTATCAACTTAGTCCAGGATTCAAGAAAACAGGCCTCATTTGACCGAAAAATGCCATGGTACAGTGACAAGATGGATGTGCATACACCATCTCGAACATCAGACTTTCGTTTGATGAAAACATCTTGAGATATTTTATATTTTTATCTATACGGTTGAAATTGTGTAAAGATGTTAATAAGTTCCAAGAGAAGGAAACGTGATACGCAAAAAGGTTTGTTCTTGCTAAATGTTGCAACAATTAATGATTGTAATACTGGTGTCTAATTGAACTTGATTTATACGATGATTGTTGGCTGTGAAAATTGAGGAAGAAGGTTGACGTAAATATTACATTTCTCATTTGCAAGAAAATAAAAATATTAAGTTCAAGTCTAGAGAGCATAATTTCCATTTGTAACCAATGCAGTGGAATAATAATTTACAGACTTCAACTTGTAGCAAGATGCAATTGCAATATACAATATATAGTCTAACATTGTGAAAACCAATGCTTGTTGTAATAAATAAATCATGTACCAAATACTTATACTGATGTGTTCGTTATTTAACAAACAATGCACTAGCAACAAGCTATTTACAATAACTAATAGGTAATATCTACAATAATACAAATTATTACATAAAAAGTGTATGAAACCTTCATTTACTAAGTTTATAGTCTAGCAGATAACTATACAATTTCTTAAAATTCATCACAGGGACCACATTCACTATGCATTATACTTTGGATTCCTTGAAAAAATAACTCATCGACACATTGATAATATGAAACTAATTATCTGCATCGACAGTCTCGAGCTATTACTAGCTCGATAACTTACTAAATTAGACATATATATGAATATGAACGCCACATAAAAGAGTAGGAAACATTAGACCTCGTTAGCAGATTAAGAATTACCTACATTGCTCGGAGAATGTAACAATTATGATTCATAGATAATAGGTAACCAAATATAAAATTACAAGACATATAATTCATAAATTTTGACTTTACTACCACTTTGTTACAAGATTGAATAGATTCCATCAAATTAGACAACAAAAGTATACTTCAATGTTGCAATTGTGTCTCATGTTTGTATTGGAACTATACCAATTGAGAAGTTATTAATTATTTCCTTAACTTCAGACAAGTATTTTACAGAGCAAAATATTTATTAATTCGATATCGAACATCATTCCCATTCTTCATCCCAGCCCGACACATATTTACTGAAACTAAATGGTCAAGCCACACTATATTATTATATGAATTTGTATTTATGCACTATAGCAGAACAATTTAGTCATGATTTATTCAAATTTATATAACAATTTACTAGTTTGTCAACGGCTGTGCACAGCACAGCCGGGCCCAATTTTGTTATAATTGCGCTCAATTTTTGTTATAAATATGTTATTAATTTATAATCAAATTATATGTTATATTGCAAAAGTATTTATTTTCATTGAATATTGTTTTTATTATATAGTTATCATGCTAACATTTGTACCTGCAATGTATAACAAAAAAATATCAATTACAGTGCTTTTAAAACATTAGTACATACGAATCAACATTGACAGCTACTATTAAAGCATCATGATTAATTTTATTTTACTTCCAATGTCTCAATCCTCGAAAGATAAAACTAAAACAATATGAAAGATCTACTCCAACACAAATTCGGAATGACAGACATAGTTGATTAGTGCAAGCCACATAATAGAGTAGTGCTAAAGTTGGATTACTAAGAAACATTAGATTTTAAATTTGAATGTTATCATCTCATTGGGTTTGATTCTGAACATGCAAGTAAATTTTTCCACAATGGCATTGTTATCCAAAAATTCTCTCATAATACCATTCTGCATGAGTTTGATCCATGATCATGAATTATCACATCTTTATATTTAGCATTAGCAATTTGTATGACTGCTTTGGTGGTGTTGCTATAATTATTATGCGTTCTCCAAAAATTCGTGGCTGCATCAAAATGATTGTCTTTAAAAAATGAGACAAATTCAGTATATGTTATGTTGTGCTTGTAATATAATTTTACGATAATTCTGCATATGAATGCACGTTCAATTAGTTGACCAATTATTTCACTGTACATTTGTAAAATTATACTTACTTATTGGAACCATA